GTTACTAGGGGCGTAGTTACCAGGGGCGTAGTTACTAGGGGCGTATCCAAAGGCTGAGTATTTTTGTTTACCATATATAAGAACACCTGATATCGGGACACCAGCCATCTGGGTGGTTAGTTTATCCAATGTTGGTGCAGGCGAAAACCGGAAATCGTGCTACGTCAGACATACATTTAAACCAGAAACGATTCGAACCCTGGACTTGTGGGAGAGAAATACGCACGTTACGATATACAACCCAAGATCCAAGTGACGCGCTAGGTATCTACACTATCAAGGGCAAATAATTATATTGGAAATGTTGGTTAGTGATCCCATTACATAATTTACATCAGCACTAGCAGCATATGGGCCCCGGTGACGATACCTACCACTCTTACCCTCACAAAAACTTCAACTGAACAAGGTGTTTAACATGACATAACCAGGCCGATAACCCTTATGTATGTATGTATGTATGTATGTATGTATGTATGTATGTATGTATTATTTTTACTCAATAAATTGATACAAAATCAAGGTCCCAGTACAGGAGGATAAGTACCCCGCACTGCAACAACAATGTACCGATACTAATTCTAGGATTTTATTCATATATCCACATACTAGCTTAGGTTAATAGCCGTCTTAATAGCAGTATTATCTATCTATACCACATGCTAACTTTGGTTAATAGCCATCTTAATAGCAGTATTATCTGTCCGAGCCACCACATCCACAACTCCTGTACACACGGCGGAGAGCCACACTACCGCCTCCTCCCCCCTGGACCCCACAGTACAACAACACATCTTGTTATCACCTTACCTTCACTCAACTGCTAATAACCACAACGTAGAGTCCTGGAAGTCCTCACGACGCCACAAACACGAGGTAATCCACAAACAGCGAACGTAAAATCCAGGAAATAGCGATCAAACGTTGCCTCAAATACTGTCCAACCACACGCACCACCACACACACAGATGTTAACGCCGCCGTTACTCACACCTTAATGAGTTCTGGCGAGTCGTGAGTGTCGAAGCTTTGAAATGCTTCGATTCTTTAATTCATTGGTTCGCTTTACTGATTCACATGAAAAACACCCACGTATTTATTTATCGACTGGATGGCAGAAATGATATGATACGTGATTGGCCGTCATTTATAATCTCATTCGTTATCTCCAATTACTTCTAGCCATCATTAGCGAAAATAAAATTGATAATTATTTACGAAAATTAAACCCGAGATTCGAAACTTCGTCAAATTCCCCGCTGTTTCACACTCAACTAGTCCACAACCAAATAAGTAATAGTTTTAACATCGTCAAGTTCCATACGTGAAATATAGTTACATGCGATGTTTGTATTTCTTAAAACATTCCAGGTTTGTTAAGATCTTTTATAAATTAAAATTTATTGGTCTTCCTATACGTTTTTTTTATGATAGTAAATAAAGTGTTGAACGACTGTGAAGTAAAGTGTTTGATGACTAAGGTTACCTCTTTAATACTTACAGGTGAGTGAAGAGATTAGCCAATCAAGAGTTAGACTGGAGGCCTTCAACAAGCAGCGTGCCCACACACCAGTGACCTGACCTTCAACAAGCAGCATGCCCACACACCAGTGACCTGACCTTCAACAAGCAGCATGCCCACACACCAGTGACCTGACCTTCAACAAGCAGCTTGCCCACACACCAGTGACCTGACCTTCAACAAGCAGCATGCACACACCAGTGACCTGACCTTCAACAAGCAGCATGCACACACCAGTGACCTGACCTTCAACAAGCAGCGTGCCCACACACCAGTGACCCGACCTTCAACAAGCAGCATGCCCACACACCAGTGACCTGACCTTCAACAAGCAGCTTGTCCACACACCAGTGACCTGACCTTCAACAAGCAGCGTGCCCACACACCAGTGACCTGACCTTCAACAAGCAGCGTGCCCACACACCAGTGACCTGACCTTCAACAAGCAGATTGCCCACAACAGTGACCTGACCCCTCCAAGCAGCAACAAAAACTGATTGGCTTAGCATAGCCTGATTTTGTAATTAATGTATATAGTTACCATTACCAAGTCTACCTTTACCGTGTCTACCATTACCGTGTCTACCATTACCGTATCTACCATTACCGTATCTACCATTACCGTCTCAACCATTATCGTATCTACCATTACCGTATCTACCATTACCGTGTCTACCATTACCGTATCTACCATTACCGTATCTACCATTACCGTATCTACCATTACCGTATCTACCATTACCGTATCTACCATTACCGTATCTACCATTACCGTATCTACCATTACCGTATCTACCATTACCGTATCTACCATTACCGTGTCTACCATTACCGTGTCTACCATTACCGTGTCTACCATTACCGTATCTACCATTACCGTCTCTACCATTACCGTGTCTACCATTACCGTGTCTACCATTACCGTGTCTACCATTACCGTATCTACCATTACCGTATCTACCATTATCTACCATTACCGTGTCTACCATTACCGTGTCTACCATTACCGTATCTCATTACCATTACCGGTATCTACCATTACTGTGTCTACCATTACCGTGTCTACCATTACCGTATCTACCATTACCGTATCTACCATTACCGTATCTACCATTACCGTATCTACCATTACCGTATCTACCATTACCGTATCTACCATTACCGTGTCTACCATTACCGTGTCTACCATTACCGTGTCTACTATTACCGTATCTACCATTACCGTATCTACCATTACCGTATCTACCATTACCGTATCTACCATTACCGTATCTACCATTACCGTATCTACCATTACCGTCTCTACCATTACCGTATCTACCATTACCGTATCTACCATTACCGTGTCTACCAATACCGTCTCAACCATTACCGTCTCTACCATTATTCAATACAAAAGAAAATCGCTTATGGTGGTGCACAAAAATAATTGGCAACACCCCCACCGCTACCTGGTCCACAAGTAGAGGAGCGTCAGGAGGGCCAGGTGCATCAGGAGGGCCAGGTGCGTCAGGAGCTTTAGGTGCGTCAGGGAGGGTCAGGGTCAGTCAGGTGTGCCAGGAGCGTCAGGAGGGCCAGGTGCATCAGGAGGGGCCAGGTGCGTCAGGAGGGTCAGGTGCGTCAGGTGTGCCAGGAGCGTCAGGGCCAGGTGCATCAGGAGGGCCAGGTGCGTCAGGAGCTTTAGGTGCGTCAGGAGGTCAGGTGCGTCAGGTGTGCCAGGAGCGTCAGGAGGGCCAGGTGCATCAGGAGGGCCAGGTGCGTCAGGAGCGTCAGGTGCTTCAGGAGGGTCAGGTGCGTCAGGTGTGCCAGGAGCATCAGGTGCGTCAGGAGCGTCAGGTGCGTCAGGTGCGTCAGGTGTGCCAGGAGCATCAGGTGCGTCAGGAGCAGCCAATAACCAGCGGTGTATTGTACCTGAGGGATGGGGAGCAGCGCCGGTGTTTACTTACAACTCCTATGAGGAAATGAATCTCACTGGGAACTGGGAACTTGCCGACAACCTTGCCGTTATCAGCCGGGTGGACAAGGATGAGGAGGGGAGAGAAGGTGGTGTCCCCAGAGTCATGCTACATCCTGTCTTGACAAACCCCATCCTTCCCGATGCCTTGGGAATGTCTGTTTTTAGTGATGTATTTAACACCTAAGCCATGACTGAGAGTGTAAGGAGTTGTACCTTTGTTTACAGATGGTCGCCCGGTGATTGTAATAATATACACCTACGAATTATATGATGAGGTGATTTTGTTAAGTAATTGGCCAGGTCGTGATGGATGCCCACGCACGTCCGTGGAGACAAATATTAGAAAAAATGTTCTGATGGAGAGCTGGGTGATAGGGAATTCACCTATAGATGGGTGTAACGTGGCCTGCGATCAACAGGTGAGCAAATGACCCTCAGCAGGCCTCTGAGGGTGCAGCTACCCCTGGGCTTGTCCCTGGGGGCGTCACCGACCCTGGGAGATCGCCTGAAAGCGCTGCTGCCCCCGGGTGTGCCGCTGCCCATATGGAGAGACCCGGGTGCACCGTCGCCCCTGGTCGGACCCCTGGGGGCGCCATAGTACCTGGGAGGGCTCCTAGCGGCGCCCCCTTCCTTTGTAAGGGCCCATCAGAACGACTCCATCCCTTGGAAGGCCCTAGGGTCGACAACGCCCCTTACAGGGCCTCTACTGGCTCCGCCAACCTTAAAGGGGGCTGCTGGGGGCGTTGCCACCTTTGGGAAGGCTGCCATCCCTGTGAGGGCCCATAAGGGCGCCTACTCTCCTGGGAGGGACCCAGGGGGAGCTGCCGCACCTGTGTGGGCTCCTAGGGGTGCCTCCACATCTAGAAGGGCCCCGGGGGGTCGCGACGACCCATGGGAGGGTACCCGGCACGACCCTTGGGAGGGCCCCTGGGGCATTTAGCGGAACCGAGGGGCACCATCGCCTTTGTGAGGGTCCTTGAGAGGGCCGTCGCTGCTCCTGGCAGGACCCCTGCGGACACTGGCACTCGTGGAAGGGCGCTCCAGGGCGCCAAAGGCACTGGCAGGGCCCCTGGGTGCGCTACCGCACCTGGCAGGACCCCTGGAGGCTCTTGCGCCCTTGGGAGGGCCCCTTCTCTGGGAAAGACCCTCTGTGGCGGCAGTGCAATTGGCAGGGCCCCTGGCAGGTCCGTGGGGGCGCCACCGCCCCAGGCAGCACCCGTGGGAGAACACTGCCCCTAAGGAGAGCCCTTGGAGGCACCGTCACCCCTAGGCGGGCCCCTGGGGGCGCTGCCACCCTTGGAAGGGCCCCCTAAGTGCGACACCACCCCTGGGAGGGCCCTTGGGCTCGCTGCAACCTCTGGCAAGGCCCCCTATTGGTACTACTGGCCCTGTGAGGGCCCCTAAGGGCACCTCCGCATTTGGGAAGGTCACTGGAGATGCAACAGCCACTGGGAGGGCCCTTGGCAAGCTGCTACCCCTAGGAGAATCCCGGGGGGGGCACTCCCGCTCTGTGAGGGCCCCTTAGGGTGCCTCCGCATAGGGAAGGCCCTTGGGAGCGCCACAGCACCTGGGAGGGCAAATAGGAGAGCCTCCATCTGTAGGAGGGTCTTTGGGGATGAGGTCTTCCATGGGAGAGCTACTGGGGGTGCCATCACCCCTGGAAGGGCCCCTGTGGGAGACCACCGCCCCTGGGATAGCCTTTGCTGGCCCTGGGAGGTCTCCCATGGGCGCCATCGCCCCTTGCTGGGCACTCGCCGTCCCTGGAACGTCTCCAGGGGGCACCGCTGCCTCTAAGTAAGGCCGATGGGAGCGCAGCCGCCCGTGAGACGGCCCCTTAGGAGCGCTGACGCCCCTGTGAGAGCCCCTAGGTGCGCCTCTGCTCATGGCCGGGCCCCTTGGTGCGTCACCGTTACTGGCAAGGCCCCTGGGGTCGCTGCCGCTCTTGTGAGAGCCCCCAGGGGGCACCGACGCGCCTGGAAGGGACCCTCGGGGCATTACTGACCTTGCCAGGGCTAATGAGGTCACAGTTTACCCTCAGAGGGGCCCTGAGAGTGCGGCAACACCTGGGCGGGCCCCTGGGGTCACTGGCCCTCTAAGAAAGACCCCTAGGGCCGCCATTGCCCCTGGAAGGGCTTATGGGGCGCTGGAGCCACCACAGGCCCTGCCAGCGGCGGCTTTGCTCCTAGGATCCCTCCCACGGACAGCAGCGTCCCTTGGTTTCCTGCCAGGGCGGGGTTGTGTCCCCAGAAGACCTTCCAGGGCAGGTGGCGCCCCCAAGGGCCGGGCCAGGGGTGGTAGTGCTCCATGGGGCCCTCCCAGGGGCAGTGGTGCCTCCAGGGGACCTCCCAAGGGCGGTGGCGCTAACAGGGGCCCTGCAAGGGCGGAGGTGTCCATAAACCCTGCCAGGGGGAGCGGAACCGCCACGGGACCTCCAAGTGGCGGTGGCTCCCCAGGGGACCTTTCAGGGGCAGCGACACGCACAGGGGACCTCACAGGTGCAGAGGTACCCCAGGGGCCGTCCCAGGGGCGGTGGTGCCACCAGGTCGCCCGACAAGGAGCGGTAGTGCCCCCAGGGGCCCTTCCAGGGGCGTTTGTTCCTCCAGAGGCCCTCCCAGATGGGGAGGCCTACCTAGGGGCCCACACATGGGTAGCGGCGCCCTCTGGGGCCCTCCGAGAGGCAGCAGCACCCCAGGGGCCCATACAGGGGTTATGGCGCCCATCAGAGTCCCTCCCAGGGGAAGCAGTGACCCCAGAGGCCCTCCCACATGCCGAGGCGCCCCACGGGCCCTCCCAGGAGCAGAGGTGTCCCCAAGGTCCCACCCAGGGATGGGGGCGCCCTCAAGATCCATGCCAGGCGGGATCGCCCCCAGGATCTATGCCAGGGGCGGTGGCGCCACTAAGGGCCTTCATAAGGGTGGATGTGCCCCTAGGGCTTCTCCTTAGGAGCATTATCCACTTTCCAGGTTCCCTCCCAGGGGCCCTGCCAAGGACGATGGCGTCCCTGGGGCGCTCTTACTGCTGTGGCAGTGCCCCAGGGACCCCTCAAGCGGTGGCGCCCTCAGCGGCCCTCCCAGGGACAGCAGAGCCCCCAGAACCCCTTCTAGGGACGGCTAGGGCCCGTGAAGGAGGGCGGCACCCATTGGGGCCTTCCTAAGGGCAGAGGTATCCGTCCTAGTGGTGGTGGCGCCATCAGAAGCACGCCCAGGGCCTGTCGCGCCCTTAGGAGCCTTCCCAAGGGCCCTCTCAGGGGCAGCTGCCACCGTAGAGCCCCTGCTAAACTGTATTGGCGCCTCTAGGGGCCCTCCCAAGGGCGGTGTTGCCCCCAAGGGACCTCCCAGGAGCGGCGTCGACCCCCGGGGACCTACCAGGGGCAGCCGCACCTCATGGAGCCTTCCCAGGAGCCCTCCCAGGGGCAACTACGACCCCAGGGATCCTGTCAGTGGGTATGGGTGCCTCTAGGGGCCTTCCCAAGGGAGGCGTCGCCCACAAGGGTCCTCCAAGGGGTGGTGGCGCCCTCAGATGTCCCAGTCAGGGGCCCTGGCATGGGCGGTGGTGCCAATAGAGCGCCCTTCTAGGGGTGGTAGCTCCCACAGGGACCCTCCCAAGTGTGGCGGCGCCCCCAAGGGCCCTCCCAAGGGCAGCGGCGTCAACCGGGGTCCTCCCAGGGGCGGCCACGCCTCCATGGGAGGTCAGGGTCCGAGAAAGGACCACGGCGCCAAATGGGGCCCTCCCAGGGGCAGCAAAGGCCCTTCCTGGGGCCCGCCCAGGGCTGCCATCCCCCGAAGAGCCTTCCCAAGAGCCCTCCCAGGGGCAACTGCTATCCCAGGGGTCCTGCTAGAGTTAGCAGCACTCTCAAGGGCCCTCCCAGATGTGGAGGTGCCCCTAGGAACCCTCACACTGGCGGCAGCGCCCTTAGGGGGCCCTCCCAAGGGCAGCGGGGCCCCAAGTGGCCCTTCTTAGGGGAGCCTCTGCCTCCTGTGGGAGCGCCGTTGCCTCTAGGATTGCCCTGGGAGCGCCGCCGCGCTTGGAAGAGTCCCTGACGGCGCCGCTTCCTTTAGGAGGGCCTCTTTATGCGCCACCGCCCCTGGCAGGGCTCCTGGAGTCGCCACCACTCTTTGTAGGGCCCCTGGGTTCCTCGCCGCCGGCGCCGCCGCCCCTAGTAGGGACCAGGGGGACGCCGCCGCCCCTGGGAGGGTCCTCGGGGTCACTGCTGACCTTGGCAGGACACCTGGAGGCTCTGCATCCCCTGGCAAAACCCCTGGCGAGGCCGTCGCCTCGGAAAGGGCCAGTGGGGGTGCCACAGCCCCTGGCAGAATTCACGCCTCCTCTGGGAAGGCCTCCACTGTCCCTGGGAGGGTCCATGGTGGCACTGTCCGGGGCTGCAGCTACTCTTACGGAGCTCCCTTGGGGCGCTGCCGCCACTGGGAGGGCCCCTGGGGGCGTCACCTACCCAGGGATTGCCTCTAAGTGGGCCCCTGGGAGCGTCGCCATCCCTGGCAGGGCCTTTGGGAGAGCCCCCGCCCATGGGTATGCCACTGCCCATAAGGGAAGCCCCGGGGGCACCGTTGCCCCTGCTTGTAACCCTGGGGGCGCCACATTACCTGGGAGGACTCCCTAGCGGCGCTGCCCCCCCCCCCTCCCCCGGGAGGGCCCTTGAGAACGCCCCCGGCCATGGGATGGCGCTAGGGTCGCCAATGCCCCTTATAGGGCCCCTACTGGCACCACCAACCCAAAGAAAGATCATTGAGGGCACAGCCGCACTTGGGAAGGCCGCTTAGGGGCATTACCGCCCCTGTAAGGGCCTTTAGGGGTGCCTCCGCATCTGGAAGGTCCCCTGGGTGTGCTGCTGCCTCTGGGAGGACCTCAGCTGTCCCTGGCAGGGCCTCTGGGGTCAACACAACCCTTGGGATGGCCCATTAGGGGGAGAGGGGGGGGGGGCAGTCCTTGGCAGGGCCTCTGTGGGCTCGACCGTTGGGAGGGTCCCCAGGGGCTCCACCGCCTCTGTGAGGGCTCCCAGGGACGCCAACGCATCTGGGAGGGCCCTTGGGAGGACCTGCGCTGCTCCTGGGAGGGCCCCTGGGGGCACTGTCACACCTAAAATGGCACTCCAGGGGCATCACTGCACCTGTCATAGCCCTTGGAGGCTCCTCCACCTTTGGGAGGGTCCCTGGAGGCGCTCCTCCCCAGGGAAAGACCCTCTGGGGCCGCAGTATACCTTGCAGGGCTCTTGGTGGCCCATTTGCCCCTTTGAGGGCCCTTGGGGGCGCTGCTGCCCCTGGCAGGGCCCCTGCAGGGCCACTGCCCTTAAGGAGAGCCCCTGGACTGGCCTCTAGGGGAGGCGCCACTCCTCCTCGGGAGGGCCTTTTTGGGGAGATCATGCCAATGCGGATGCATCCATAAGGGCTCACACAGGGGCAGCGGTGCCCGCTGTGGCCCTCCCAGAGGCGATAGCTCCCCCAGGGGCCCTTTCAGGTGCAATGGCACCCCCAGGAGCGCTCCCAGGGCCGGCCGCGCCCCCAGAGACCATCCCACTCACGGAGGCTCTCCTAGAGGCCCTTCCAGGGGCAGTGGTGCCCGCAGGGTCTCTCCCAGGGGCGCTTCCATGGGCGGTAGAGCCCCAGAAGGGCATTTCCAAGGACTGCCGCGTCCGTCAGGGGCCCTCTCAATGGTAACTGTGACCCCAATGGCCATGCTAGGGTTAGTGGTGCTCCAGAGTCCTGTAGTGATGGGTTGTCAGACCACAGCTTACATCTCAGAAACAGTCCAGACTTGACCCGACATTAGGGAGGTCAAGTGTAAGGGTAACCACTCAAGGAGCTATAAATCAGCCAGGCTCCCCTCCCATGTCACACATGTAAGAAGGCACCGGCCGACTCTCTCCCAATATACACAATAACCTACACCGCAGAAGAAGTCCAGACCTGACCCTACATTAGCGAGGGCAAATGTAAGGAGACTCTTCGCCGCCCCCCCCCCGATCAGCTCAACCTGACGCCTCACCTCCCAATATATAGGACGTCCTAGTCCTCCCTCTGGAGAGAGAGAGAGAGAGAGAGTGTGTGTCTTGTAAGGAGGAAGGGCCAGCTACTACACCACCAGGCCCACTCGAGAGGAGTCAGAGAGGACCGGAGGCAGTCGCCTCCGGTCAGGACCGAGACTTCCCTCCGGTGTCCCAGCTAAGCAGTCGCCCTCCCAACACCAGTGTTCCAGCTAAGCAGTCTCCCTGCTAGACCTTCCCCAGGTCACGTGAGTTTTTGTCAGAGCTTTCCATGGGATGAGTTACTTACGTGGGAAGTGTATTCATTTCATGTTCGTGTCCGAGAATCAGAGTGTCTAGTAACGTAATATGATGTCCTAGTAACGTAAATATAATGTCCTAGTAACTTCAATAGAAGGTGTTATTAATGTGTCCATGTCATTGTCGTAATTAATAAAGAGTTGTAACGAAGCGGTGTTTGAGAAGTCGCCCTTAAGAAGTAATAAGTGTAAATAACTATCACAGCCACGCTACCAAAATCTTCCTCTCTTTATACTCTTATACTATCAATATTCTACCTATATGTAATCTTCTTCTTGTGAGATTCGTCTCATTACAGTCCCTTCCTGGGGCGAGGGCGCCTAAGGGAGGTCTCACTAGCGCAACGGCATCCCTAGGGGAACTACCAGCGACAAGACTAACCCCAGGCATTAGGAACCTTGAGTATAGCGACAAATCAAAGCATCTGAATTTGCACTCCCTTGAGAGAAGTATAGTGAGGGGCGATATGATCGAGGTGTACAAATGGAAGATGGTTAAACAAAAGTACATGTACTTAAACTATCTAACCAGGAGCAACCACACAATGGCTTTAAATTAGGCAAATTTAGATTCAAGTATGAGATACTGTAAGTAAACGCTGGTTTGGAAATATAGTGGACAAGTGGAACAAGTTACTAAACATCATCATTCACTTGAATATGCTGGGAAGCTTCAAATATAGGTTGGAAAGATATGTTATATAAAGTTATATAAGCAGGGTGTAAACGGGGCTGCCTAATATGGCCCACTGTAGTTACTCCATTCTTTTGTTTTTAAACCAAAGGTACAGTACAGTATGTGTGATATTACACACACAAAAAAAAAAAAATAAAAAAATAAAAAAAATAAATGATATGCAGAAATTCAAGACAATACAAGAATACGGAAATATGTGGTATGATTTTGCATGAATATAATCATGAATATGTAGGTACCAATATTTTATTTATATGTGCTCATATTATATTTGAGGCACGTACAATCAGAATAAATAAAGCGCCAGAAAATACAATGGAGATCTCTAGTGCTTTCCTCTCTCTGAGCTACCGCCCACACACAGTGAAACGTGGGTAGTTTTACTTAACCCTTAGGCCTCAGGGACGTTCCAGAATGTCCGCCTATTTTTTTTTTTTTAAAGTTGATTTTTTTCTTGATTTAACCCCACGGGGGTACTGCGAGCAGCACACTAACCCGGGGCTTAAGGGTTCATAGCAAAATTGACCATACAGTGATCCCTCGGTTGACGAGCGCCACGGTTAACGAATTACCTTCCATAAGATTCTTATCTTCGGTTAACGAGCATTTCCTCGATTAACGAATTCCTTACGAGCGCCCCTCCACATGTTTTCGCTTGCACACTAGCTGTCGTATTAGTCCGCCAATACAGTAATCAGTTCTAGGGCTTAAATTCCTTACTATTTTAGTAAATATCAAGAAGTTTGTACTATTCAATAATTTTTAGTGTCTTATAAAATTTTTAGTCATTTTAACAATTATTTAACATAATTTAAGTACAGTGACCCCTCCATTAACGAACTCAATCCGTTCCAGAAGGTCGTTCGTTAACCGAAAAGTTCGTTAACCGAAACCATTGTTTCATTGGGTTTTTGGGTAATTGGTTCCAGCTCACCGAAAATTTCCTAAATTCTACAAAAATGGTAGAAAAGTTCACTTACTTTGAGGTGTGTATGTAGAAGGCTCCTGGATGATGATGATGGGATTTAGAATGGGGGTGGAGGAGAAGGAAGAAGAGAAGGCATTGGGGTGGAAGAGAAGTCACCCCATGGCGCCATTTTACCCATAAAATTTTAGCTCTCTCTGTGTAATTCAAGATTATTTTCTTTAAATCAACACTGCACTGCATTATATATTGTCAATATGTAAAATATATTTCAAAATGAACAATATATAATTTGCTTGGAAACACAGAAAAAAAGCGTTTAGTTGAAGAGAATCTCAAGCAAGATGTTACCTCCAGTGAAAACAGAGAGAGACTAACTCCTGTTTGCTGTGTTAAGAGGCTGGATGCCGCGCATTAAACTAGTCACTTTACCTTCAATTATGTTCAATACAGTATTACCCCGCCTAACGCGGTTTCACTTAACGCGTTTTATCATATACGCGGTGCCTCGCCAGAGCTGAACTTTCACTTAACACGGATTTTTTCATCATATACGCGGTGAGTGTCCGCTCTAGACGCTATTTTTAGATTTGCCCCACCCACCCTGCCTGACTGCCTGTTTTAGCTCATAAAATTCATACAAATTACCCGGCCAGAATATAATTTACATTGCTGGAATTCTTATAATTTGGTGATCATTTTGAATATAAACATCATATATTTTGCATTAGACATACAAATTTTAGATAACATTTTTTCTCTGGGTAACTATGTTATCTTTTGTGCAAAATATATGACATTTATATTCAAAATATTCCTGGTCTTACAAGGAATCCAGCAATGTCAATTATATTATCCTAACTTTAGTTTGAGGTATTATTTATTACAAAAAAGTTAAGTATTCTGGTTTTCCCACACATCTCCTTGGGACGGTTGGTGGAGGGTGGGGGGGAGGGAGGGACCGACCGACCATCTGTTACCCTGTGAAGAATATTTTTTTTTTTTTATTAACTGAAGATATTTGTTTTAGCTCATAAAATTCATACAAATTACCCGGTCAGAATATAATTTACATTGCTGGAATTCTTATAATTTGATGATCATTTTGAATATAAACATCATATATTTTGCATTAGACATAAAATTTTTAGATAAAATGTTTAATCTGAGTAAGAATGTTATCTTTTGTGCAAAATATATGACGTTTATATTCAAAATATTCCTGGTCTTACAAGGTATCCAGCAATGTCAATTATATTATCCTAACTTTAATCTGAGGTATTATTTAATACAAAATGTTAAAATATAAATTTTTCACCCACTCTTCTCTTGAAGGGATGATTGGTGGGGGGTGGGGGGGAGGGTTGGGACTGACCGCGCGGTTGGAAGAGGGGGAAGGCAAGGTGGGGTACTTTGATTAACAGATAGTGTCCTGAAGATTATTATTTTTTTATTAACTGAAGATATTTGTTTTAGCTCATAAAATTCATACAAATTACCCGGCCAGAATACAATTTACATTGCTGGAATTCTTATAATTTGGTGATCATTTTGAATATAAACATCATATATTTTGCATTAGACATACAAATTTTAGATAAAAAAATTTTCTGAGTAACTATGTTATCTTTTTGATACAAAATATATGACATTTTTATTCAAATATTCCTGGTCTTAGGAATCCTTAATGTCAATTGTATTATCTATAACTTTGGTGAAATTATTATTTATTAAAATTTAGTGGTTTTCCCCAAAAAATTTCTCCAGAGGGGAAGGACCGGCAGTGTAATTGTGAGAGGGGAGGAGTTAGGTCCATTATTTGAATGGACATTAACTAGCGACTGTGTTTTCTCTATTTCTCTTAGTATTAATTGTGTGCATGTACCATCATAAAATTAAGATGTTATTTTTACTACAACATAGTTATGTGTCTTCAAAAAGTGGAGTTTGAAGTCGGGCGGTTTCTATTGGAATTAATCCCATATGTTCTGTTGTTCATACTTGTAGTTCACTTAACACAGGACCCTCTGGAGTTCTATTGACGCGTTAGAGTGGGGTACAACTCTTAATTGTTAAAATGACTAAAAATTGAATATTAAACTTTTAGGTATTGAATAGTATAAACTTCTTGATATTTACTAAAATAATGAAATTTAAGCCCTAGAACCGATTAATGTATTGGCGGACTGATACTAAAGCTGGTTGCCCGGTCAGTGCAAGCGAAAACATGTTGAGGTCGGTTCGTAAGAACTTTGTTAACGAATTTTTTCTTTAACCGAATTGAAGATCCTAATGGAAGGCAGTTCGTTAATCGAAATTACGTTAACCGAGGTGTTCGTTAAACGAGGGGTCACTGTACAGGGAAACTAGTTTTTAGCGCGCCAAACAGCCTGTCAACACACCAAGCAGGCGTCAGTCTCTGTGTCTTTTCAGTGGAGGTAACATCTTGCTTCAGACTCTCTTCAACATAAATGCTTTATTTCTGTGTTTCCAGTCAAATATTGGTCATTTTGAAATTTATTTTACATATTGATGATAGCAGTGCTGTGTTGATTTAAAGAAAATAATCTTGAATTACACCAAGTGAACTAAAATTTTATGGGTGAAATGGTGCATGGGGTGACTTCTCTTCCACCCCAATGCCTTCTCTTCTCCCTTCTCCTCCACCCCCAATTACCCAAAAACCCATTGAAATATCGGTTAACGAGCAACCTTCTGGAACGAATTGTGCTCGTTAACCGAGGGACCACTGTACTGTATTGACATTTCCAGAGGTGGTTTCCCTAGCCTTTTGTGAATAAATCTCAATTTTGACATAATGGTGGTTTGCCAACCCTTAGTTGTAAGCATCTCATTAATGGCTTATTGAATTCAGTAATTTTGGGGTATTATTTAATGTTCACTATTTCTGTATACAGTATAGCATTAAACACCTGTTGTGACAGTGATTGTTTTTTATTTACCTAATTTGCAATTGCAGGAATCATAATTACAGTTTCTAATATTATCATAATCAATTACATTACTTTTGGAAGGAATCGTAATCATTGATTCCATTTGTGGAGGAATTTTAACGTGAAGAACATAGCTGGAAAAAAAATTTGATGATACACTGTATAATCCTACTGTTTTAGGGACATTTAAAACACTTTTATAGAAACCATTTATTGAATGGCATAAAATACTACAGTACTTTCAAGTTCATATAAATGTAACAGTAATTCTTCATAAAAACAAAAATATTGTTAATGATACTTACAATAAAATGTAAAATCATCATGGTTTTACTGTATGTGCCACTTATCATGCACCTTCAACTTAATTTAAAAAAAATCAATACATGGCTGCTTGCCAATTCAAGAAACATTAAAACTTTCATATTTTACCTTGTCACAAAAACTAAAAAATTATTTAAGAAAGTTAATCCTTATGAATTTATTATTCAAGTAACTTTCAATATCGTACTTACTGAAGTCACTCAAAGTTTTAAATTACGTAAAAGGTAAAATACATCCTCCAGGTACCACTGTTCCACTATATAATACATTACAATCCACTTGAGGGCATTTTGTGAAAAAACTTCTGCTGGTCATCTAATCTGATTCTGACTCAGATTCTTCACTTGTATCTTCCTGAAAATAGATATAAATAAATAACTTCCTAAATTTAAGAAAAGGAAGAAAAAAAGACTGACAAGTAGAGATAATACAATATATAGACAGGAGGAAACAAAACCAGATACACTGTACTGTATTGTAGATCATAAATTGGCCTATACACTTTTTTATCTCGTGACATTAAATTATTATGATTTTGAAACACTAGCTTGCTCTGGGGTTAGCAGAAATATGTATATTTTTAATTTACACTATTGGCTCAAACCCTAACCGAACATACATAAACAGACCCTTGTTGAATTTGTATAACAACGACAATTTTGCGACCTAGTTACGCCAAATTAATTAACTGAGTAACCAATTTTCGATTTTATTTTGTACATTTTGACCACTATACTATCCAAGATTATTCACAAGTTATCAGTACCTGTGAGGTGACTTCCACTCTTAGGTTATTGGGTGGGGCAGATCGGGTTGGATTACATCATACAGGTTGGGATAGGAGTAACATAACCCAAACCTTAATTACTGAGTACACTGAGTCCCAAGAAGTACCTTTATGGAGGGGGTGTCCGATGAATTTCAAAATGAACACCGTGATTCTTATCGTCTCGGCAGGGTTGGCAAAATCATTTGTCCGTTGTGTCACATTGTTTCGAGCAAGATCGTAACGACACTTTTTGTAGTGAGTACATGAGTGGACTTCACCTTAGAGATATCAAACTTATTTTAACAACTCAACACCATTCAGAACATGTATGGTTATGTAAATTAAGGTTACTTTAGGTTAGGTTAAGCAGTTAATATATGGTGTCCTATAAGTATTTTCCCTAATGTGTCTGTGATGATGTAATACAACATGTCTCCTTTAAAAGTACCACTGGAGCTGTTTTGACTATCATTCCATATTTTTGGGGCAAACTCTCCCCCAGATTCAAAATTTTAATCATTGGACATGTACGAGTTGTAGAAACCATCAACATTGTTGTGGTGGGTGTAACTAATGCCTGAGTAGTATAACTGTTTTATGTCCCCAACAATGGTTTAATATACAGTAAACCCCCAATATAATGGACTAATTGGGAGGAAGCCCCATCCATCATATTAGAAATTTACTGTCCAGGTTATTTCATAGGTTCCACACCACAGGAAAATGAATGTTGTTCTTTTTTCTAGTGAAGGATTCATAACATAACAATGAAGATAACAGAAATTAACACTTAAAGAGACAGACACTTGGGTGTTGTGAATAAAGAATTTTACAACCGATCTGTGTGAAGCATCTTGGCTCTCCTCGACTTGATTATTAAATTGACCTTTTCCTCTTGTGTTAATTTACCCTTTCCTGATTTGTTAACATTCCTAAGGTGCACGGGTGACCTATGAGAGACCCAGTATGAGTTGCTTCAGAATTGTGACCAACTGAACAATACCCAATGAAAAAAATGCTATAATGCAATCTTGATAATTAATTGAGTAGTTATGCATAATATCAATGAATGCTGATATGAGGAAGGCTGGGGGAAGTTAACTGTTTCTACAGGTACAATACAGTAATAAGATAAAAATAAGTAAAGGTAAACAAATGGAATGTCTAAACAAATTAATAAACACTATACTCACCCTTTTCTGTACTGTTTGTCCTCGATTTGGTATCAGCCATGCCGGCCTAACCATAGCTTTTTCACTGGAGCTGCTACTGCTAGATTCATCATCATTTTGCTGAATGGGTGTATTAGCTATTCTGTTTTTGTTAGTCTCCTTACTTCCAGATTCTTCATCCGATCCATCACTATAATTTTCTTCATCCCAGTCATCATTATCATTTTCTTGATCCGATTCATCATTATCATTTTCTTGATCCGAGTCATCATTATCATTTTCTTGATCCAGGTTATCACTTTCATAATCATCCTCAGAGTCATGACTTTCCTTATTTGTAGCTTTTCTGAGTTCATTACCCGTTGATCTTGATTTGCTAACAGTCTCAGTGTTCCCTAAATGTGACACCACAGCAGGTTTACTCTTAACAAGTTTGTTTATTAACTTGTCTGACTTACCCAAAGACTGTGTACTGGGTTGTGTTTTCTTTCCTTTAGCCAAGTCTGTGTTCCCAGTCTTACCTCCAAGCTTTGATGCTTTGCCTTTTCTAGAACTCAAAATCGATTTTGTAGGCAACTCACTTTCCCGTTCTTCATCGGACTCTTCACTTTCCAAGTCTCCATCCTGGTCGTCACTGTACTGGTCCGCCGCTGTTCTCTTCGTGTTTGGTAGCTGCTGCGTCCTCCTCCTCTTCATCGGTAACATCCAAATCACTTAAGTCGTTTGATGACTTTGATGCCTTCTTTAGACTCAACACAAACACTGGGTACTTAGCATTGGGATATGCCTGTTCAAATATGTCGTATCCAAAGAACTTATACAACTTTCTCCTGAGAAATCCGAGATACACCTTGCACATTTCCTTGTCCATCTTGTCTACTCTAACAAACGTGTTTTATACACCTCTTTGAGTTCCTCGCATTTTGTGACATAAGTGCCCTTTTGTTCCTCAGTTAATTTGTCCATACACTTTAAGTTTTTTTGCTTTATCAGCAGGTGTTTTAAACTCTTTTTGAAATCTAGGTGTATGCTCAAATTTCAGATATAACAGCTTGATGGGTGTCTTGGGAGGTTCCCTGGGTTGATCATGGAACTTGGGACAAGACATACCAAACTCAATCTTGTGAGGGAACACTTCTGACATTTTAGAAGGCTTCCTCTTCATACCAACTAGATGTGGAAGATTATTCTTACCCTGTGGAAAGTGGTTTTCATTACTGACCTACATTAACAAGGTAATGTAATATTTTTAAGAATAAAATTACTTATTAACCTCATGATAGACCCTATTGGAAGACTTATCTTGAAATCCCATGTTGTAAAGCCTCCAGTTCAGACCTAAGAATACTTAGACCTTGGTGGGTGGGAGAACCCACACCTTAGTGGGAGGGGGTGGGGGGTAGAGACGCACCTAACCTTCACCCTGATAACAAGGAACAGTAGAAGTGACGGCCACCGTTCAGAGCAGATGGAGTCTGACAAGCAGATAAAGGCATACAAGCTGACCTCCCCTTACCTGACAACCTTGAGAAATGGGCCATACCAGACAATAGAAATTCCCAATAAATAGAAGGTCAATATGTAATAATGCATTAGCTACACTTAACCTAATGCTCTGTAACATTATGGAATTCTGTCACTCATCATATCTTCATACACAGTCTTGAGTTTTTACCATTTTACTTCTTCCATTTATTTCAACTTCCCTCTGCCCCCGTATGTGCAGAAATTGAACACACGAGACATAAAAATCCTACTTGACAGCCCGTCCCTGACTAAATTCCACCGACGATTGCCGCCATTGATGTGTTAACTTACCGCCTACATAAACTCTACAAAGCTTTGAAACTCCTTCTCGACTCATCTCTTTCGTCATCCAAGAGCTTCAGGTAACATCTTATCAGAAAGAGGGAAGCAACACAGGAAAAACACAGAGCAAACTTACTGAAAGAAACAGATCTTTTGCAAACAGCGTCACATCATCTTGGTTCTGTTCCCACTCCAGGAATTTCTTTCTGTGCTCCTCCAGACCCTGTAAATAACATCAAGGTTTTCAATTACAACATGCCAAACAAATTGATCCAACTGTTAAGAAACAAAATTATGAAAGCCTCCTTAATAATAATAATGGACTGCAATGTAACAGCCCAGTGTCAGTTATGGGTATACAGGTACCATCACCATGCAGTATCAACACATAACCAAAGTGTGTCCAGTACTAAGGTGTGGGAGTATATACTTCCCCTGAGCTAATGTCAAGCAGCAGCAAATATTACTATTATTCAGATTACAGTGAAACCCCTATTTAACAGACTAGAGAGAGTGAAGTCCGTTATATCGAGGGTTCGTTAGATGTGAAACCTCTATTTAACGGACTAGAGAGAGTGAAGTCCGTTATATCGAGGGTTCGTTAGATGTGAAACCTCTATTTAACGGACTAGAGAGAGTGAAGTCCGTTATATCGAGGTGTTTATGTACGTGAGCCCAGCTGGTGTTTTGTATCACATTCCAGAATGAATCTAAATATACATATAATAATCTGATCACTGTGAAAGGGGTGTGTAGTTTAGGTTAACGATTAAAGCAGCTACAGTAGTTAAGTTACAGCCTCGTTATCCCCGACAGTTCATAGTCTCATTCATCCTCTACCTTAATATTTACTAAGAATTATTGATTAGCACTATTATTTTTTTTTATATATACAAAACAAAATCGACAGTAAAGTATAAATTACACTTTGGTATTAAAAATTATATCCTAAAACTGGCCCTTCCAGCCTCATCTATGGTACTGTACTGTTCCATCCATCGCTGTAATAATGGAAACAACCACACTGGTAGTATCCATCCCTGTTTATATTCTGAGACAGTTTATTCAACATTATCTTAGTAGAAAAGTGTCGGGTTTACACAATGTAAATAAACCATCGTCACATGAGAGAAGAAAACTGAAATATCTAGTTTAGTTTAGTTTAGTGTGTGTGTGTGTGTAATAATAATAATAATAATAATAATAATAATAATAATAATAATAATAATAATAATAATAATAATAATATAGTATATAATAATAATAATAATAATAATAATAATAATAATAATAATAATAATAATAATAATAAACGGTTTATTGAAAAAGTTTGCAGCCGAAGGCTGAAAATATACATTGAACAAATGACTTATTACATACATTGGTTTAACAAAGCCTTCATTAGAAAGGTAAAGGAACTACAGTGAACATACAGATTAATGTTACACATAGATCATATAGCTGAGGTGTTGAACAGCAGACATGTAGTGTAGTAACTCCCTCACAGATGGCATTATGAGGGCATCGTGGAGTACTAGTTCCCTCACAGGTGGTGTTATGAGGGCTTGGCGTGGTGTAGTAATTCCTCACAGATGGTGTTAGAGGGACCTGATGATGTAGTAGTTACCTCACAGATGGTGCATGAGGGGCCTGATGATGTAGTAATTCCTCACAGATGGTGTTATAAGGGCCTGATGTGGTGTAGTAATTCCCTCACAGATGGTGTATAGGGGCCTGTGTGGTGTAGTAATTCCCTCACCGTTGGTGTTATGAGGGGCATCACGTGGTGTAGTAATTCCCTCACAGATGGTATAAGGAACTTCACATGATGCTATACCAATTCATTCACTCGTGGTGTCGTATCATGGGGACACCGTAGTCTGAGGATATGGTCCCAGGCCTCTCTATTGTGGAGTCTCAGGGAATTATCACTGGGTACCTGGGACCTCACTGTGAAGGTTAGCTTGGGTAAGACTCAACTGCCAAGTTGTTTTCACTGACACAGCACTGTCACCACTATTCAACACTGGTTCCATTCCTTTCCCAAATGAAATAGAACTTCTGGCGAGAACTTGTTGATATTTCGGTGGGGAGGAGGGTTCAGGGAGGGAGCTGGTATGGGCCAACATAACAGTTAGCGTGGCTGCTGCTGAGCAGCGTCCAGGTCGTCTGACCCGTCTTGACCCGTCGGTGATCTCTCGTGTGTGTGTGTGTGTGTGTGTGTGTGAATTTATGAGAGACTGGAGTTAATGTATCAATGATTCATAAAATAATCAGAGTTGCAATAAAGTAAATGTCAACCGAATGCTCTGATATATTACATGGTTTCTTAAGACACATATTGACGGCAGTGCCAACATGACACATAACCTCTTGACCCTTAAACCCTGGGCATTGTAAGACCCGCCACACACCTCCCACACGGGCGTATTTTGGAAAATAAAAATAAAAAAAATAAAAAATAAAATCACCTTATAAATGGGTTAATCAAGATAAGAAAAAATACTCAAAGAATGTATTTACACTCAACTATCATTCTAACATGGTTGGAGAGTGTGGAGTGTTAATGAGCAGTGGTGATTGATGAAAGATGTCTTGTTTACGCTGAGGACAGCCCACAGTAGGTGGTGTTAACATGTTGCAACACACAGTTCTTCTTACAAAACGCAAAACATTTCTAGTTTACCTAAAAGAGCTAAACAAATACTGAACGGTGGGAATATTCACACACAAAACTTATCATTATTTTCTTATCACCGGCTGCAACGCTATTTATAAACCGTTTATTATCATTATTATTATTAATATTTTAAAAACCTCTCCGGGTACGATGGATGTGAGAATGAGCAGTGTGTGGCTTGTCATCTTGGAATGGTTTCAGACTCTTTGTTCACTTTTCAGATTGCATAGTGCTTATAGCGTCCGGGAAGTTTTTGGTGAGAGTGTACAGTACTTCTACCGAATTTAAAACGACTTAATGCGTAGAAGTCTTTGTAACACGGAATACACAAGGCAACTCCACACTCCTTGCAATCAAGTCGCCATATCTTTTGCCGTGAACTTCGTGATTGGCTGGTGGGATTGGGAGTGGCAGGGAGGGGCAGTCTGGAGGCCTATCACTGTCCTCACAGCCTCAACAAACTTGACATCATCTGGGTTCTGTTTCTCCCATCATTGTCTTTGTCACCCAATACTATATCAGTGCCACTCAAATCAAGCAACTCTTGACAAACAGAACTACTACAGCCAAGCAAATGTCTTCGGTTATACTTGGCGAGGGTGGGTCATAAGAGAGGGTTAAGGACGTGCATCCCTCACAACATCTGGCGGGTAACTGACCATGAGGCATGACTCAGTTGACTTGAGACAAATACACACGAGGTGAGTTGCCAATTACGCAAATATCCCATACAAAGCATTTCCTCCCGCCTGGACATTCAAAATATGCCGCGAAAAATAAGAACGTTCAGGAATGTCACACCCGGGTTAAAGTTTCTTGATCCAGAAGTAAGCAAACATATACTGAAGTAATGTACCAAGGCAACACCACAGCATCATAGTAACACACATACATACCTCTAAAACTTTATTGGCGTAAAATTTTTTTTTAGAGGTCGGCAGCCGTTTGAACTGCTCCATCACATGTATTTGCAGTTCTTTCTCCTCGACCTCCGGCAGGTTACCAGATTCCTCCAAATCTTGCATGTAAATCTGGAATGGTTTTTGAGCGGCATATTCTGGGAAACCCTTCTCTCTGCAGTGAAGATACATTAGTTAACCTTTGTCACCACTTATGGGAGACCTTTCACATTACCAATTGAGGACTATGTTGCTTGTTGTATTATTTATGAAGCAGATATATAGACACAAAAGAGCACAAGTACTCACTCAAGATATATTTTGAGGTGCTCCTTGCGAGGACCTACATATGAAGGAGCCTTAAAGTCTGGATTCTCTTTCAAGCGTTCTTCAACTTCTTTCTGAAATAATACCAACAATACATTAAGACACCTGTCCTATGTATACATTATCAGTTATCAGCATTTGTCTGCATGATGAGTAAGGTGCATAATCTGCAGCATTAGTGTTGGGATGTAATGCTCTAGAAGCCATTTTCCTGTAAATCATTTACTAATTTACCATATTTTACACTCAGCACAATAAATACTGCACAACATTTCCAACATGCCATTTAGATAAGTGAATATCACCTTCAGATAGCAAGATAAGGTGCAAGAATAGAGTAATCTGTATAGAAAACAGAAGCCATTTAACTTACTTTAAACTGGATCACCAACAATGATATATATATGTAGGGCACTTTCTTGTGTTTCTTCAGCTTTGCAAAGACCAAACTCAATTTCATCGTAGGAGTTGACGAAATTACCCTATTAGAGTCAACTTTCCATATCTATGAACAGAAAGCAAAGGAAATTCAGTCTCTCTCTCTCTTTTTCACATACAAAAACACACAACACAACAGAAATATTATCAATACTGACGCTGAGGCCATCATCTCCCACTCACACTCTTTTAGGACAAAATTTTGTGATAAACATTAAGAATGAGGGAGGCATCAATAATAAACTTTGATTGATAAAGACATCTGAATTTCCTAGAAGCAACTTTCAAAGGGTTTATCAGTTTTACAGACATCTTATTAATATTTAGGAAAAATAAATACCTAAGACTGATATGGGGAATCAATAACCATGACCATTCCACTTAGCACCAACAATAAAGTGGATAAACTAGCTGGTAGAGATAGCTTCACTCTGCTCCTCCACTCTCTCATGTAACTAATCACCCACTATACCTCACCCCTCTATAGCCCACACGGTGTCCTCCACGCAACGTCGACAATTACTGTACTTACATGATATGGTTTCCGGCATGGCGAATAGATTGGCGCTCTGTAAATTCTTTCCTGGGTTCTGCAAGAGATTTAATTTGTATTTTAGAACTGAAGAATACATAAAGAAATATATTACAGTCAATGGTACAGAGCTACCAACCAACCAGCTGTGTCAGCCTTCCTCTACCATCCATGTCAACCAAGCACTTTTAATACTGTATCATTTACTTAGTCTGGTGAAATACACAAAAAGAAGAATAACCTCAGAAATAAACATAGAGACTTGGGTTTCTTCTCTAACTTAAAAATTGTGTAATGACAATAATAGGTTTGTACAGTACTATATATCAAAATTGCCCTTTACAAAACTAACAAGAGTAATGGGGATCGTAAACAGATTACTGGCCTCCTTCTCCATTTTGGTCACCTCATGTTGGGTGGGTGGCCATTAGGTAAATAAGGAAAATATTTTGTATAACAAGAATGAATATACTTGAAGGTAAATCAATGCATGATATGGCGCTCCCATTGATGGTAACAAATCAACCAATGGCGCCTAAATCAGATTTTGTTTCAACAGGAAGCCGACTCTTTCCTACCCATTACAGTCATTATTACCAAGTACAGCTTTAATCATCACAAAATACTACTTGAGGTAAAAGGTATAAGGTATGACTTAAGAGATTCAGCATTAAACTTTTGACTTGCCTTTTTTTTTGGGGAAACGAGAGATCAACTTTTTCAAATCCTCTTGATATTGAGCCTGATACATATCCTTTTGTTCAGCTGGTAAATTCTTCAGGCCTCCAAAGCTAAAGCAAATACACTGGGCTAGAAAAAGAAAAGAGAGGTCAAGAATGATAATCTCCTACATAAAGACAGTCTATGATACAAGGTGAAGATATAAGGCAGAAAACTACAAAAAAAACAGGAATTAGAGAGGAGGAAAACCTTTATATGGTGTAAAACATTCTACCAGGAGCCTTCAGTAATTATGTTTATTCCTTCATCAATGCTGTACCAAGTCATACATATGATCCCCTCATCATTATCTCACTCTCTCTCTAAAACCCAACTTAAAATTTCATTGTCAATTTCTCTCATCAGTAAAATCTATTGTCAAAAGTCACACTGGTTTCACAATCAAGTGACAATTTTAACGTTCGTGCATCATAAAATGTGCGGGCCACGTCTCGTTCTCTTAATTCCGTGTATGTAACCTGACTGGTTATTGATCTTACACACCAGCCTATAAACTGCATGGTGTTAGTATGTGAACTGGCCTCCCGAGTGCCCCAGCCAACATTATATTCCTTGGATGTCCAGACTGTGGATACAGTAAAGCAACTGATAATGCTAAAGGCTTTCCTGTTTCTCTATTACTTATGCCACTATTATATGAGGTGGAACAAGGGTTTAAACAGCCTTGATAGATGCTGTTGATACATAAGAGCAAGTATAGAAAGTGACGGAGAGAATATGACAACACGGAATACCTCGCTATTTCAATCCCGCTTATTCCCAATTGATATTTTAAAGCCAAACTGTGCTATTGTTATTTTTCAACTTGTAACTTTGAGTAGATATGCTTTTTTACTGTTACATGCCACACAATTCTTTATACAGAATGTGAAAAAAATAAAATAAAAAATAAAATAATATATATACATTTATAATTAAAGAAACAATTATCATGAGATCAAGAGATAAACATTTCCCTCGTGTATGGGAGTTAGCTTGTGGATCGTGGGAGGAGGAAGAGAGGGGCTTAGGGACCTCAGCCGCTACTGTGTCCCCGTGTAGTGAAACTATTGTCAACTGGTAATGTGGTATTTTTGTATTTATTTTCTTATTTATTAGTATAATTTTATTTATTCCTCACATTTACTGATACAGTTGGAGAAATCCCTACAATCCCTGTGGTAGCCGAGTCTCCAAATGCAAGTCGCAATAGTAATTTCACTGTTTATGACTGAATGGGTATTGGTCGAGTAGAGATGGACGTGAATCATTCATAATTAGTGATACTAGTAGTACTGTGACATTGCTGTTTAGATATGAGTTACCACAGGGGATGGAGAATACATTTCCTCAACTGGACCTCAGATAATGAGGACTGTACTATTAAATAAAATATAGTGAAAGTTGCCAGCTGAGGCATCCCCTAATTACATCAATTAGTATGGGAAAATAGCCCTGATATTTGTAAATTTGTTGTTCGCTCATACTGCACTAACCCCCATCTTGAGTTTTACCAACTAAAACAGAAAATAAGGCCTCGAGAAGTCTTGAGCCTGGAAATAAGGTGATTACTCTTCATCATAGAGAATATTAGTTAAGAAAGATACCTGGTACACACACACAAAATAACAACTTTAGAATTAAGAAAGACAAATATATACAGTAAATAATAATTATGCAATATAAACTTACCCCCTTCACAGAGGATTTACTTAAAAGTCTTTAGAAAACGACTTATGGGTTGTCTAATCTTTTCTTTCTCGAGGCAAAGGACGACACTTTTTCTTCTGCCTCTTTATAATTGTCGCAAGTGTCTGAAAAATAGTAAGATTAAATAGAGCATTAGTTCAAAAGGTACCCACCCACCCACATATCAAGCTCTGGCTATAGCACACTGATGATCATTTCATATAAAAGTGTGAAGAGTTACAAATACATACAATGAAAGCTTATTAGGTTATTATTACATCTCATACTTACTTCATGGAATCTGAGAGTAAATCTCCATGAATCGCTTCTTGCAATTCTCTCAGTGGTCACCAAATGCCCTTCATCCCAATTAAAATTTTCAATCTGACCGACAATTCTTGGTGTCCTTCTTGAGTGAGAGCCTTCATCTTCTCAGCAGCTCTAGTTCCTCCTCCATAGTCCAGTTTTGACACTCTGTAAATAAACATTAGGTGCCAGTGTACAGGGGGAAACAATAATCATACCCATCAACATTCACTCAAGGGGTGAACACTACCTACTGAGCTATATGCCAGCAACACTGAATAACATCCACTGCTAAGGTGGTGTATTCCCAACTATGGACATGATTCACATTTGAGAATTGACAACTTTTGCTGGTCATGAAAATTTTGGCCCAAGATGTAGGGACTACTCAGGCCACCACTGTCCCTCAACACCTAAATTTTCTCATCAACTTTGGGTAAACCTCAGGAATAACTCCAGGGATCCTAACAGCCAGAAATCAGACAAGTTTGGAAAAATTCTCAAGCATGATGCTCGATCCACAGGAAATATTAATGTTGACAATTTGTACAAAACTATTTATGTGCCAGAAACCTGTCTTGAACAAGATTAAGTTCCTACAATTTAAGTGATTAAGTCTAGGCCACTTGACATTATACATATAATACTGTATTATCATTTAATTGCTACATCAGCTGATTAACAAAGTATATGTAGCAACAGTACCTACTTCAAGGTCCTCATCTTCCACACTCACAACTTTTCAGAATTACTCCTTTGCTTTTTATTCTATTTTAGATGGACTTGATGGACTTTCAGAGTCTTTCTTTTAACTGTCTTTTCATAGAAGTCTTTAGTACATTGTCTGCAGGAACTTTTACAGGAGACATCGATGAAACATTTTCTTGGGATTTCTGAAAAAATAAATAAAAATAAATAAATAAAAGGAATATTTCTTTAAGTCCTGTAATCAAACTGTTACGACACATGCACACACTATAGCACTACGACAAACATCCTATTTCCTTCCCTTTAAGGTGTAATGGCATCCCAGGACGCACGGCGTAGTAGGGGTCTATTGGCATCCCAGTAGCATGGCAATTTTATATTTTCCGGTAACTAGTCATGCTGTTTATGCGAAACCTCATCCCTGCATCTATTAGGCCATGTTTCCTTCAGTACCACATTTCTACCAGAAGTGAGTGGTAAATGTATTGTACAGTATATAGTGTAGATACAATATGACTAGGGTCTGTGGGTCTGCCATCACTCACCCTACACCTCGTTTTAAGTATATAACTGTACAGATAAATAAAGTGAAACTAAATCGTATAAGTGATACTACAATAAAGTAAGTAAGTGACCCCTTTGTCCTCCAACTTAAGATTAGTCCACTACAATGTAAGTACACTGTAGATAGGTATTGTTAACTGATTTTGTTTATGGGTGTAATTTTTCAGTAAAAGCGGTGGTCCAAATTACCGGGAAGGGGGGGGGTTCCCACACAAGTCAGACTCAGATAAATCGGACCTTGAGCCCCATATAGTCTGACTTATGGGAGGTGTTACTACAATGAAAACTGTAGGTGCTGTGAAGTTGTGAGAACATGAAGAGTGAGTTGGTAGTGTGTCAAGTGGAATCCTACATTATCAGACCTTTCCTTATCTCTCAGTCAGTTCACACTAAGATACAGAGGGTGATGACTCCTGACTCTCTGACTCAGCAACAACCATAAGTGATGAGTTCAGAGGGGTGATGAACCCCTGACTTCTCTGACTCACAACAACCATAAGGATGAGTTCAGAGGGTGATGACTCCCTGACTTCTGACTCAGCAACAACCATAAGTGATGAGTTCAGAGGATGATGACTCTGACTTCTGACTCACCAACAACCATAAGTGATGAGTTCAGAGGGGTGATGACTCCTGACTTCTCTGACTCAGCAACAACCAAAGTGATGAGTGATAATTATGCATTTCTTATTCCTAAAATATATTTCTCACATTAAGACTATAAGAATCTACTCACCAATAATGCTAACTCCCCAGATACTAATATATGAGGGGTTGATCAT